CCCCGCCTCCTGCGGTCTCCAGCTGGGCTCTGCCCTTGGCAGGAGGCACTGGCAAACCACTTCCGAAACACCTTGCCTTGAAAACTGCAAAGGACTTGTCCAAAGCAGTCATTGCAGAGTCGGTAACGACTGAGTGCAGATAAAAAAAAAAAAAAGGCTGAGAAAAGGGCTGTTATCAACGTCTTGTGTCTTATGAACGTGGTATGGCACAGGTCTTGTAGGGCATAGGAGGGGTTGTAAATCCAACCACAGGGGTTAGGTCCAGGTCATCTTTAGATGTTCCTGGGGGTGGCTGGATGGCAAATCTCTGCAGGAGGCTTGTAAAGAAGAGGAAGAGCTCCATTTTGGCAAGGTTCTCACCAGCGCACACTCTCCGACCTGGAAGAAAGCATACATGGAAAAAAGCTGGGTTTATTGATGTTTAAACTATTTTACATAGCTTCCCAATGTGATATTGCCATGGAGAGATTAGCAAAAAGGAAAGTTATGATAGAACACTCATATGTAAACAAGCTAAAATGCAACAATAAAATAGAAATGGATTGTATTGGAATCATGCTAATATTAAAAGAAGGATGAGCCTTCATAAGTACCCTTGTGCACTGATGCCCTGAAAATAAGGTTGACTGAGCATCCCACTCTAGGTAAAGATGATAAGTACAATTACAGAAATACCTCTATTTAACAGATCATTTGGGGAGAGGGGACGTATGTTAAATCTTCCTTTAAACTTTTTTGGTTGTCAGAATGATCCCCTAATCCATGGGCTGGATGATTGATCTTGTAGTTTTGGGGAAACAAATATGCATCTATATTTTCAACTATTACTCCAGGCCGAGGCCCTGGAGCAGAGCAGCACGATGAGTCACGGAGCCCACCTAATCTTGGTGTGGTGGAGAGAGCCCTTGTGGGCCTCGGCGTGGGCAGCAAACTTCGGCAAGCCTTGAAACGCCGTGGTTCTGGGAGGGTTGCAACGAGCCGTGGCAGGTGTTGGTGAGCTCCAGCACGGCGCTGCGCAGCACAGCTTGGGAAGCCCCGGCGAGCCCCAGTATGGCATGGCAAACTGCAACAGACCCTGGCATGGCACACCGAGTCCCAGGCCCAGCAGACCCAGCAAGCCCTCAGGTGGTGCGGTGAGCCCCAGGGGGCCCTGGAGCAGCGCTGCGAGGTTCAATCAACTCCAGGACTCCATGTTGTGTCCTAGTGAGCCCCGGAGCAACGCAGCAAACTCCAGGGATATGGGAACTTCAGGCAGGGACTTGGTGGTTTGGCGCAAGGACGCTGGGCAGATTGTGGGGGCTGAGGCCGCAGTGGACTTGTAGTCTGGCTGTGGAGGAGGAGTGTTTGGTGTCAGAGGAGCAGCCGGACAAGGGACCAGCCGGATAGCAGACGATGCCAATAGCCCAGGTTCTAAGACCAGTGAACTGGGGATTAAGAACTGGCCACCCCTATTAAGCTCCCCCCCAGGGCCAGTGGAGAACTGCAGGGTCCCTCTAGTGTGAGTCTGGGACTCCCTCCTGGGAGTGAGAGTCTAGGAGGGAGTCGGAGAGCGTGTGAGGATATTAGGATCCACCTTCTGGGTGGGAGACAGGAGGTGTGAGGGAGTGAGTCAGGTGTCTACCCTGCCGACTAGTGAGAGAGGTCGTGCCGGGTGACAGAGGGTGTGGGGGTGTGTATGGTTCGGTGGGGGTGGGTCCTGGTGGCGCCGAGAGCATGACCTGGTGCGCCGGGGTGACCCTCCCTCACCGGTGAGCGTTTGTTGGTGAATGAGGATGACTGGTTGGAAGGAGGGGCCCTTGCCTTGGATTGGGGACCTGGGAGGTCCAGGTAGGGAGGTATTTGGGCCCAGAACCCCCAGGGGCTATGCGGTGGGCTACACCATTGAGGTGGTGATGGGCAAGGGATGTTATGGCGGGAGCTGGAGGGCGAACCATCTTTGGGGAAGATGCCCCTGGTATGTCTCACT